GGGGGGGGGGGTTGTTACCGGGAGAGCATTGACCCAATAGCCTTGAGGCTAAGCTGTCAAGCAAGCATCGACCTGTGTACCCTTGTGGATCTGATGTCATGTTCTGGAGGTTGCTTGAGGGAGCAGATGAGAGGCTTCCATGACTTGCTGAGGCAAAATGCCACCTCTCTGTTCATATTGTAATGTGTTGCTGGTTACTGAAGACGCCGTAGGGATCGTTAATTGGTTTATTTAACAATCTACAAGTAACGGCTACAATTACTTATCACACAGTTGCGGGGTTTCACACTTTATAACCCTAATCCCATTAATCTGTTAACGCTGTTGTGGGGACTCGGCTAACTTCGGCTCCACTCGTGACGTCACCGCGAGGAGAGTGGCGGGGTGATGACTCGCCTATTACGCGAGCGCTATGTTACCGCTACGTGCCGCTGGGGAGGTAGGGGTCAGCATGTCACAATATTGTTGGGATGGCCCCCCTAATGATGTGATCCATGTATTGGTTCTTAGTGGCAAGGATGGAGGTATTGTGAAATTGAATGCGGTGTCCCTAGTTGACGCTGTGTTCAGCCACGGCTGACTTGTCTGGATGTTCAAGACGGATGTGCTGCTGATGCTCCTTCAAGCTTGTGTGCACAGAACAACCTGTCTGCCCAATGTAGACCCTGCTGCACTCAGGGAATTCTGTATACAGCCAGTGTCCTTAGTCCCAGGTTATCTTTGACCAGCCAGAGGAAACTAGAAAATTTCTTGGGAGGCAGGCCCACTGATTTTATGTTGTGCTGGGACAACACTCTGCTGATTTGGTTGAATATAGGGCAGGAAGGACACTAAGTCTGGTTCATTGTCTGGCTGAGTGATGTTTTGACAACAGTGCAGAACTCTGTGGATCTGCCTGTCATTGTAACTGTTCTGCCTGAAAACGTCCCTCAAGAACACAAGTTTCACATGTAGGCTGTCTTGATTGCATAGAGCTCTAGCCCTGTGCACAATTGTATAAAATACAGCTTGCTTGTTGGATGGATGGTTGTGATGGAACCCAGTGTTAAGGTTGAGGTTGGTATGGGTAGGTTTTCTCCCAACCTCCTGTCACTTCATCCCTCTTCGGTCCAAGTATTCTCAACACCCTGAGTCTGTGTTCCTCCCTTAATGTCAGAGACAAAGTTTCACACCCATACAGAACCAGAGGCAGAATCATAGTTTTGTATATTCTAATTTTTATATTCTTGGACAGCAGACGAGAAGACAAAAGGTTCTGGACTGAATGGTAGAAAGCATTACCCAAGTTCAGTCTCCTCTTAATTTCCTCCTGAATCCAATTTTGATTTGTTATTGTCATTCCCAAATATTTGAACTATGCCACATTTTCAAAACATCTTTTACCTATCTTTATGTCATGATTTTGCCCTGGATTTTGGTGACGAGACAGCAACATATACTTAGTTTTCTTTGTGTTTTTTCTCTTATTTTTTTATTGCTAGTGGGGTGGGACTAAGTCCCTTGTACTGTGGCCTCTTCTGGCCTATTGTACCAGCCCCACATGATAGGTGAGGGTGATTGTGGAGCAAATGGTGGAATGAAGATTAGCAAGGGAAACCGAAGTACTTGGAGAAATCCTNTCCAAGTATTCTCAACACCCTGAGTCTGTGTTCCTCCCTTAATGTCAGAGACAAAGTTTCACACCCATACAGAACCAGAGGCAGAATCATAGTTTTGTATATTCTAATTTTTATGTTCTTGGACAGCAGACGAGAAGACAAAAGGTTCTGGACTGAATGGTAGAAAGCATTACCCAAGTTCAGTCTCCTCTTAATTTCCTCCTGAATCCAATTTTGATTTGTTATTGTCATTCCCAAATATTTGAACTATGCCACATTTTCAAAACATCTTTTACCTATCTTTATGTCATGATTTTGCCCTGGATTTTGGTGACGAGACAGCAACATATACTTAGTTTTCTTTGTGTTTTTTCTCTTATTTTTTTATTGCTAGTGGGGTGGGACTAAGTCCCTTGTACTGTGGCCTCTTCTGGCCTATTGTACCAGCCCCACATGATAGGTGAGGGTGATTGTGGAGCAAATGGTGGAATGAAGATTAGCAAGGGAAACCGAAGTACTTGGAGAAATCCTACCACAAATCCCACTTGACCAGACCTGGGATCAAACCCGGGCCACCACAGTGGGAAGCCAGCAACTAACCGCTTGAGCTATGGCACAGCCTACTTCTCTGTGTTTACTTCTAGACCAACCTCCTTACTAGTGGCAATTAAAGTTTGTGTGTTTTTCTTTATGGTATCTATATTATCACGCTGTAGATTANGAAAGCATTACCCAAGTTCAGTCTCCTCTTAATTTCCTCCTGAATCCAATTTTGATTTGTTATTGTCATTCCCAAATATTTGAACTATGCCACATTTTCAAAACATCTTTTACCTATCTTTATGTCATGATTTTGCCCTGGATTTTGGTGACGAGACAGCAACATATACTTAGTTTTCTTTGTGTTTTTTCTCTTATTTTTTTATTGCTAGTGGGGTGGGACTAAGTCCCTTGTACTGTGGCCTCTTCTGGCCTATTGTACCAGCCCCACATGATAGGTGAGGGTGATTGTGGAGCAAATGGTGGAATGAAGATTAGCAAGGGAAACCGAAGTACTTGGAGAAATCCTACCACAAATCCCACTTGACCAGACCTGGGATCAAACCCGGGCCACCACAGTGGGAAGCCAGCAACTAACCGCTTGAGCTATGGCACAGCCTACTTCTCTGTGTTTACTTCTAGACCAACCTCCTTACTAGTGGCAATTAAAGTTTGTGTGTTTTTCTTTATGGTATCTATATTATCACGCTGTAGATTAACATCATCGGCATGGGCCGATGTGTCCCGTTTAATTTCAGTCCAACCTGGTTTTCTTGGACCTTCCTAATGGCATATTCTAAAGCAAAGTTGAAAAGGAGTGGCTATAAGGCATCTCCTTGTCTTACACCACTTTGGATAGGAAATTTATCAGACAAATGTTTACCTATATGGACTTTACTATAAGTTTCGTTTAAACACAATTTAATCGGCCTAACAAGTTTCAGGGGTATCCCAAACACTATCAGAATATTGTACAATACTTCCCTCCTATCTGAATCATAGGCTTTCTTGGAGTCTACAAATAGCTAATGTACTGTCTCATTGCTCCCATCTATTCTCCAGTATCTGATGAACGCAAAGGTTCTCATCAGTAGTTGATATGTTATGTTGAAACCCACAATGATTATCCCCAATAATTTCATTATTGCAATTTAGCTTGTTTTATTTGGTCTAATAATTTTGAGCATCCTTCATTGAATCATGGCTTATGCTTCTTCATTTCATAATAATCTAGATTCTCCTTGGCAGAAATTTTGATATTCTGTCTGATAGTTTCCCAAGCTTTACTAACATCCACCTCAGTGTCCAAGTTTTCAAAAGCCTCAAACTGAATTGAGATTTCAACAGGATACTGCTCTTTACCCTTTACCGCGTTTAATTTCTTGAAATTGAACCTCCCCATATGAACTCTGTGCCTTGTTTGCTTACTGGCAGTCTTTCCCTAATCTTTGCTACCACCTGGTAGTGGTCAGTATCACAATCTGCTGCCCTGAATGATAAGACATCAAGTATACTTGAATGCTGTCTCCTATTTATAAAAATATGACTGATTTGATTGTATATCTTACCATCAGGAGATGTCCAAGTAAATTTATGGATGTTACGAGGTGGGAACATTGTACGTTTGACAGTAAAGAGTTTTCGATGTGGCAAAGTTTACTATTCGAAATCCATTATCATTACTAATTTCATGCAAGATTATAGATGTTGGAAATGGTGACCAGTGTTGCCAGGATGTATACGCCTAGCATCGATTTCACTGTTACTGAAAAACAAAAAAGGAAGAAGCTCAGTGAAGAAAAATTGAATGAAAACTTATGCTACATGTGAACATTCCCCTTGAGACCACCTAAGACTAACTGAACAGGAAACCAGGGTTTCATGTTTATACTGTTTCTGAAAAGGAAGTTCACATGAAGGTAAACTTTTTACAGAAGTCTTATGAATGCATGAATAAAAACCTAGCGAGGGTACACCAAGGAAACTCGCAACCGCATTTGATGGTACGTTATCTGACACCAGGAATCCACGCGGCAACGCATGTGTGAGAAGACTAGCATGCTCCGTTGCCCGGATGTGGAATTTCTCAGTCTTTCCGCGAGTTGCCTTGCAGTTTCCTCAATTTGCGCTGCTTCATTCAGTAACTTGTCTTCAACTCAGGCTGATAGCAATTCACGGATTTTGCGGTTGCCAGTTTCCTTGGTGTGCCTCCGGCCTAAGGACAGCAGCAGCATTTCTCCTCTAAAACGTACGTTTATTTTTACTTTGTTCTGTAGCTCCCGTACTAAATTTACGATCTTGTGGGTAATAACGCAGTGCATTATGCTAAATACGTAGCATTGTTTCAGAAAAGCTTCCTCCATCATCGCTTAATGATATTATCTGTGATTTCCTCATATCTCGTTGCTGGCTGTGTCATGTATCATAGTTTAGTATCTTGTAGTTGGCTATAATGAGGTGATCTTTGATGTCTGTACTCTGTGTCACTGTTTAGCTGTTTAGAGCGTTTAGAGGTATGGTGGTATCTGCTGTTGGAACTGTGGCCAGGTAGAGACGTGAAGGGGTTATCGTTTCGTTGAGTTGGAATAGCATTATCTGTGATACATAAACAATAGGGCACGGTTTTTACCATTGATCCACAAATTAGCGTAAATGCATAATAATTGAAGAAACGTCCATTTCTGTGCATAAGGCAAATGGCTATTGGCCGTCTGTGATACTAATTAGGCCTATTTGTTAATTTATTGCTAAGTGTTTCATTGCCTGCTGAGCAAAATTTTTGTGTGTACGCCTTACTCACTGCCAAATGTTGACTATGTGACTTAAATGGATATTTTTGATTCGAGTGTATGAAGAACGGGAGACTATAAAGAGTGAACAGAATCCGTACAGGAATAGTTGGATCGCAAACATAAAAATCAAAACTGACGCCTGAATTCGTGACCAACGGATATTCATACGATTCATACGAACAGGTTTTGAGTCAGTTGATTGCCAAGGGACTATACTTCTGACGTTTGCTGCATTCGAAGATGGTTGAATGGTTTACTTGAACACCACCTTTGCCAAAGTTAACGTCGTATTCCAGGTGAATATACACTTCTGTAATACGAGATGTATAAAAGAGCCAGTAGTAATGAGGAGTTTCATAACTTGTACTCATCTTCAAGTATAATAAGAATGGTCAAGTGAAGGAGGATGAGGTGGGCAGGTCATATAGCACGAATGGGAGAAGAGGAATGCATATAGGATATTGGTGGGAAAGCCAGAAAGAAAGAGACCACTGGGAAGACCAAGGCATAGGTGGGTGGACAATATTAAAGTTGATCTTAGATAGGATGGGGTGGTATTCACTGGATTGATCTGGCTCAGAATAGGGACCAGTGGAGGGCTCTTGTGAACATGGTAATAAACCTTTGGGTTCCATAAAATGCTGGGATGTTCTTGAGTAGCTGCATAATTGCAGCTTCTCAAGAAGGGCTTAGTTCCATGAGTGGTAGTAGTAGTATGTATTTATTAGGAGCTGGGATAACGCAGTCAGTATAGTGAGTGGCTACGGGGGTTGGATGACAGAGAGGCCAGAGTTAAAATCCCTGGTAGGGTCAGGAATTTGCTCCACATCACCCAGACTGGTACTAGGGCTCATCATGCCTCCTATCTAATGGGTGCCAGGGGTCATTCCCCCAGAGTAAGGCAGCCAGAGCGTGAAGCTGAACACTCACCTGCAACTAGTGCTGAGGTAAAGAAAACCTGGAACTATACATACACTCCCTCGTATGCCTTCATAGCATAGTGCTTAATTAGTTAAGCACAGGGACAACTTTACCTTAGAATTTATTTACTGTAGTATGATTCATAACGTCTAACAAACTGCCTAATAGGGGTACTGGTTATTGCAGGTTTATAAAGCGAAGGGTTCATTAATGAAAGTAGAAATACCATGTATTCTTTTTCAGTGATACTAATTATATGAATTTTAAATATACACTTGTGCTTCCTATACAGTTTAATTTAAAAGTCTACAACCCAGTTCCAACTAGCATATAAGCTCTTGTTTGTAGAAATGGACGAATGTTGCTGGGGTAGATGCGTTGGACATCTGCCATTCATGTTTGAAGCCATACTCTATCAGTTAAATCCCAAAATATTTTGTGTAGGAAAGATGTTTTTGTTTCCAAGGAGCGTTTGTGTGGTATTTTTGTTAAGAACTAGCGGTGGGTGGTGAGCATGAAGAGTGTGGAATGTATTACAGGAATTTAAAACAACACAATTTTAGGATCCTGCAGTGAGTAGCACACTCTGTTGTTGCTTTTGTCAGAACATTATTTTGTCATTGATTGCATTATAAGTACCCATAATAGATATATTAAATTATAAAGCTGTTCCCATGTATGTACCTTGAAAAAGTTATGGTAGAGCTTGAAATGGGTGGTTAGCTTCATGCTTGCTCCTGATGCTTTATTCCAAGGCAAAGTACCCCAATATTGATTGTATAGAAGACTGACACATTTTCTCTTCCTGTCACCCTTTCAACATACTTACATAGTTTCTTAATTTATATTACAGTGAAATTGTGTGGGATAATTCTTGAGTGTAAGACATGCCCATATTTTAGAAGGAAAATTTTAGCGAAGATGCTCACAGATTTTAAACAGCATTTTATATTGAGAAAAATGTGTCTTAAAAGGCTTACTCTGGAAAATGTTGCAGTTCTTATATGTCAGTCAGAGTGTGTGCAAATAATACGAGGATCGTACTGAAAGTCATGACCAACAATTTTTTGTAAATATTGCTTTAATATTGACAAACCAAATACACCACCTCAATCTACAGACTTTTCTTTATTTGTCCACATAATCGCCACTTTTTTTGTACACATTTCTCCCAGGGTTTTGGTAGTTTGAAAATTCCCCTTCTGTAAAATTCCATTCAAGCCATCCGAAGACACTGACCACTTCTTTCTGAATTGCTTCCTTTGACTCAAAAACGTTGTCCATACAGCTGATCCTTCACAAATCCAAAAAGATGGTAGTCGGAGGATGGCAGATCAGGGCTATAGGAGGGGTGTGGAAGAACTTCCCACCCCATCTTTGCAATTGCTTCCAATGTGAGGCGAGCGTTGTCATGCAGGATGATGATATTTCATCCCGGACGTTTATCGCGCAATGCATGATGGAGTTTGTGCAGCATCTGGACATAACGAGCAGCATTGATGGTTTGCCCAGGTTCCAGGAATTTGGCCAGGATAAACCCCTCTGCATCCCAGAAGACTGTGCCCATCACCTTTGCAGCTGATGGTACTGTCTTTGCCTTCTTTTTTGATGGAGAATGCAGATGGTGCCATTCCATTTTCTGGCATTTCATTTCAAGTTTGAAATGGTGAAACCATATTGTTTTCAGCCATTTTGTCAGGAGTGATGCTGGTCACGTGATTCAAGCTATTGATGTCACAAGACACTCAAGGTTAACACAACAGCTGGTTCCACCTACCACCATACTCTCTTTTGTCTGCTGTTCCCAGGTTTCATGCAAAAAAAGTTGTTCATGACTTTCGGTATGACCTACGTACGTGTGTATAGTCTCTGCTTGCATACCTAGATGAAACATCCATGATGTCAGATAATGCTTTACAAATTTTCATCTCATTCCTCTTATCTGTAAGCATATTTCTGCATTAGGAATCGTTGGATATTAGAACTGTGACTGGGCTTCATTTATTTTTTATACAACAAAGTATTTGATTGTTGGCCCAGGATCTTGTTCCATGTTTGTAATACACTTTGCCTGTTTCTCTGTTTTGTAACTTTGTTCCAAATGTAATTCGTTCAATAGCCCCACTCCTTTTTTCCAGAGTGCCTTCTACAATTTGCTGCGGTTAGCCCAGTTGAAAGAGCGAGGGGTTGCAAATTATCATGACTGTAAGTTTGATTTCATTGATAACTGCCTTAAATCTGTGTGTGTGCGTGTGTGTGTGAGTGTGCACGCGTGCTTGCGTGGAAGAAAATGTCTGCATTACTACGCAGATTACTTAGAGAATTTCAGCTATTATAGGCCTTTGCAATAGCGCAGTTCAGCCATTGTATAAAGAAAACCTGAAGGAAGAGACCACTTGAAAACCTAATCATAAATGGGAGGATAATATTCAATTAGAACTTAATGAAGTGGAGTGAGAGAGAGGGTTTGGAATGGATCCAGTTGGTACAGAATAGAGACCACTGGCAGCTTCTTGTGAACATGGTGATGAACCTTTGGGTTTGTAAAGTGCAGGGAATTTCCTGGCTGGGTAAATATGGTCACAACTTCTCAAGAGGCTCTGCTGCATGAATAGTTGCTGTTATAACCATGTTATGAGATGGGCATGCCATTATTGTTACTCTTAGCCATTTTGAGATTTTATAACAGAAGAGGAAATGTTTCAAAGAATGGATAATTTTTCAGTAAAATATTTTTATGTAAATATATTGAAATAATTGCCAGCAATGTAAAGTAATACAGTCATGTTATGTGGAGTTTCTCTTATCATCATCATCATCATCAGTAATCTGTCAAGACGACAGTTCCACAGTCTCTTCCAAAACAATTCCTCCATTTAATGCGATCTAGAGCTTTCTCCTTCAAATGACAGTATCCTCTTCTGTCCCCAAGGTCATCCAGCATCTTCTTACATCTTCTTGTGACTTCTATCTTTCCTTCGATAACTT